AGTGGTCGAAGAGAAACTCTGGTCAGTTTCAAGCGTCTCCCGTTTTTTTCTGTGGCATCCTTTGTTTGTCAATGTTTGCACTTTGATTGCTTGTTTCCTCCATTCACGTCACAACGTGACACCTTGCAATTGCTTTTGTATTTGTGCAAGCTAAGGAAACGTCGCAAAGGCACGACGCTATCTACACCCAGTACCACAAGGCTTGTGAGATTCACTAGACAGCTTGGAGGTCGTGGCCGGATTTTAGGAACCGGTTGAGGTGCTCAAGTCTGGTCAAGTCGGCTCGCTGTAGCGGCTACAGGGCCTTCGTCAGGTGGGCCCTGCGGTGCCTGTTGGTGAAAACCCGTGAGGCCTCCCAGCCGGACCTCTGCTCCATCCTCCAAGCCACCATCACGGCCATCCACACGCACCAGCTCCAGAGGCGGGAAGACTGCAGTCGGTCTTGGAAGCTTTTTTGATTCAGGGAGAAAGGTGGAACAAAACAGGAAATGGGAACAGAATGGAGGTGAATTCAGTGCATTTGGCAGGGTCGTCGTAATGTGTGTGTCAATCGTCGCAACTAGGGCGTCTCACAATAAGGACAAGTATAAGGACAATTGCTGCACAAGATTGGTCGGTATCAGGCACCCCAATCAAACAAGGCATTTCGCCACACTTGCCCTGCAGGCATGTACAGGTTCCAAGAATGCACAATTTCATATTCTATCATATTCTCCATCTTCACAGTGTCATGGCTCATCGCATTATTAATGTCTTACATGATGCTACACGTCATGAATATTCATGAATAAAAAAGTTTCGCTTGTGGCATCACAAATCACCAAAGTAGAAGTGCACGTGTGCAAGAAGCTTTCTATAGAAGCTCTCATGATTCAAAAGTTGGGTCTGATCGAAAGAGAATGTTCTATGTAAATCGCCTCAGGAGATCCGTGCAGCGAAAAATAGCGAAAAGATCTAAAACAAAGCGTTTTTGCCTGCTCTTTCCAAGCTTTTTTAAAGATTTGGTGTTCGCAAAACCGTTCAAGCTACCTGGAAACCCGCAGCCCTCTCCTTGGAATGGTTCGCATACATGGCCTTGGGCTTTGTGCTGCCTTGGCCGGGCTCCGGGCTCAGATGCATGTGGCAGGAGCGCCCAAGAGGCCGGGGGTGAAGGGTCTGAGAGAGTGCTTCAGGTCCCAGAGGACGATGCACTCTGAACAACATGAAAGAACGACAAAAACTGTTAGAAGATGGTGATAAATCTGTTAGAGAATTGGCTAACTGTTTAAGTTTGAGCCTTAGATGAAGCAACTCAGTCTTTTCGAAACGTGGTCTTGGGTGAAACAAAGTTAGGCCCAAGCCTGTTTTGAACCAGAGTGCTTATTGACCAGGACAATTGCCGCGTGCAGCGGGGGCAGCGACAAAGGACGCTTGGCTTGCCGTAACGGCTTGCGCTTACATTCCTGGACCCCAATCAGAAACTGCAGCGGCGAAAGTTGTTTCAAGAACCTAAGCTCTTGTGTTGCTTGAAAAGTTTCTAGTCTTTAGACCGTGAAAGGCACAAGCAATGATTGGCAGTCGAGCCAATACTACAAGCAAACTGCGACATGAGAATATGCCAAGCTAAGGGGTGCCAGCAGGCTTCCATGTTGTCGCTCGAGAGCGTGGCTCAGTGAGAGCAGACTTGCCGATCTTTACGAACACTGCTGGCCTGGTTCAGCTTCATGGCATGTGCATAGAAGCGCCGTTCAAAGTTCGTGTTGAGTCAGAACAACCATTCAACTCACCCGAACACACCCCGAGACGTAGAAGAGCACAGAGATGCACTGAGATTCCGAGTTACCCGCTCGGAGCGAGATAGGCAGACCATGGTGCCCAGCTCAGGTTCAGCCAAGCTGCAGAGGTCGTTCGACAGGATTTCCCTGACATCCCTGGAGCTTTTGCTCCTTGGCAGCCCCGTGTCATTTCAGATCCCTTCTATGTGTGGGTGGAAGTGGAATTTGTGACATGGTCGAGTTGCTGGAGTTGATCCCTCACCTTTCTGATCCTTTCGGAATCCCCCTTATTTCCCGTCTTTCAGAACTCGTTTACGTTCGGTCTTGAGATGTTTTGAGTGGGTTTGGCCAAACAGCTCGGCTGATTCGGCTCGGCTCTAAAGAATTCCGGTTTCATTCGGGCGAAGCTTAGGTCCTACACAATGTCTTTTCAGATGAGGAATGCGATCAACTCATCAAGGTGAGCGAATCGATGGGCTACACAGAGGATGCCCCGGTCTCCTTGGGCCGGCAGATCCGTCGGAATGAGAACTGCGTTTGGGTGGCGGACCCTGAGATGAATGAGATCGCATTCGAGCGCTGCCGATTCTTCTTGCCCAATGGCACAGACAGGGGTCCTCCAGTGGGCTTGAACGCCAGGCTGGAACATGATGTCCGGCCACACAGCCCGGCTCTACAACTCAACAGCCGTACTCACATAGCTCGCGAGGGTCCTTTCGGTTTTCGATGGATCCGAGGTTGACGCCGTTCGATTATTTGGGACCCAAGTATCTTTGTACTATTTTGTACTGGATGTTCTTGTTCCGGTGCACGCGAGGATGCCAGGGATAGGACTGCCAGAGTGTGGCCATGTTTGTTTCGTCTTGTACATTGATTCTTTTCTCATGCTTGAAGGTGGCGTCTCTACAAGTACAACACTGGTGACATTTTCCGAGCGCACACAGATGGATCCTGGCCGGGCAGTGGGATTGATGAAGCTGGTGACCTAGTGCATGATATTTATGGCGACCGCTGGTCAATTCTAACTTGGGTCCTGTACCTGAATGACGACTTTGAAGGTGGTGGCACTCGCTTTATGTTGCCAGATGGCATGCTGGGGCAACACAAGGTTCGCGAGATCCCTGCAACACGAGGCTCTGTGCTGTGCTTTTTTCACGGGGATCATCCACTGAGCCCGTTGCATGAAGGAGGCCTTGTGACTTCGGGCACGAAGTACATCATACGTTCTGATGTGCTGTACAAGCTCCAGGCTTCAGATAGCATGTCATGGCAATGATGTCGCAAAGTCGGCATCGGTGATTTCATCGCTTCCTCCAGAAACCAAAACGGTCCGATGTGAGAATTCGCTTGCCCTAAGCACTGGATTGTAGAATTTGGATCATTCCAAATAGTGATAGGAACTTGGCTTTGCTCCACCAAAGGCTTTCAGTCTTCCAGACAGCTTCTGAAATGTTGGTGTGTGTGTGTGTCTCTTCCCTCGTGTTGGGACGCTTGACGCCATACCATGGTAATGGATGGTAATGGGCTGATCTAGGTTTTGCTGGTATTTGGCAGATGTTCGTTGCAACGTGTGAGAATCCACCTTGGTAGGTGCCAAGCTTACTCGCCCATCTTCATCACCAGCCGTTGGTGTGGAACGTTCAGGCAGTCTGAACTTCTCACCAATCCTTCTTTTTGTAAGGTTGCATAAATCATATTTGCAGTCGAAATTTCACGCACCATCATGTACCATTTCAGTTGCAGCCATTCCATACCGCCGAGGTCGGCCTGCTCGACCGGCCTCTTCGCCGAACCTGCGGCAAGTCAGTCCTTCACATCCACATCACCGGACGTATTGCTATGCTCGGGTCGGGTAGCCAGAAGTGGCCATTTCAAACAGAAACTCATGCGACCCATGGCAGTATAGTGATAAGTCAACAAAGTCGCTATTGGGTTGGAGGCCAACGCTATGTGTGAAACATATCTATAGTATCAACAAATTGCGTGGTTTGCATGACGGAGGCGTTTGACCGGACACCCTACGACTCACGAACGTGGAAGAAAGCCACCTGTGTGTAAAGGAAAATTGTCTTTCAGGGCCAGGGGCCCATTTTTCACTTCCATGTTAGTGAATCAGAGTGTATTAGACAGGCATTTTGAACTTGAGCACCGCCCTTCGGCAGGTGCTTCGTGCTGCAAGCGCAGGGTTGATCGCTTCCGAAGATCCATTTGGAGACGTGCGCAGCCCACAGGTGCTAAGTCCACATGGTGGTTTCTGAGTCCACAAGGCGGATGTCCACGTAAGACGATTTGTCGTGGCATTTGGGGTTCTCAATGATGTGATTGTTAAGCAATTCTTCATGATCCACTGCAAGGATTTTTTTTGTCACTCATGCTGGTCTTGCCTAGACATCCGTTAGGGTTCTTGAATTCAGAATATCATATCCGGCACCAGGTCCGGTAAGGCATGGAACAGGACTGTGCGCACTGCACATTGGTGACGCCCAGCCCAAGTACCAATTGAAAGGGAAAGAGAGCTCGTTTGCAACATACAGATTGTCAGCCCAGTGGCTTGGTTGCTGAGATCACCTTCAGGCGTTTCACCGCTGTGTCACCGCTTGAATAGTTAGGATTCCCAAGGTCTCACCACAGACATCACTGCATTTTCTACCCTTAATGGGTAGCACTGCGAGGACGTTTTCATGAACACCCAGGCCATGCTTCAATACTGCAGCATTCCAGGGTGGATGAAACGCCTCGAATGCAGAACACCATCATGTTTCAGCACTCGCTATGATCGCTGAGGATGCACACGTCAGTGAGATGGAAGCACTGAGTTGGCCATTATGGCTTTAGCTCCTCTCATTGTGTTTGCCGACCCGTCATCACAATGAGGGTGATTTCCCGCCGTCCACTGAACGGGGTGCCTGACCAAGCAAACGGCTTGGGGAAAGCTCATCAATCCTTGTTTCATTCCTTGAACCGGTTAGAACCTCCCTTTCCTCCGAGCTACTTCATTTTGTGCAATCTTCGGCATAGTGAACGTTCTTGCCACGTGATGTTGCGCTTGGCATTCCAGAGAAAAAGTCCGGTCGATGCAACAATGCCGTACAATTAACGTTTGGTTGAGGCAAGGAACAGACCCGTTCAACTTGGACAAACGTTGAATGCACTGGCGTGCACTTTCACTTAATTATATATACCTTTGCTCTCAGTAGGTCAGAGGCCATCGCCATTAGATTGGATCTTTCAAATTCAATCTTGCAGGACATCAGTAGTGACAGCTGAGACTGAAGAGGCTGCTCGACGTGTTGTGGGTGCCGCTCTGCAGGCCTTGGAAACGATTGCGGAATTCAATGAGAATGCCAACAAAACTGTTAAGCATGTGTGGAGCTTGAAAATGACACTATGTCAATGTGACACTGTAAGTTACGTATATATTTGGAACTTGAGCTAGATATCTCCAGATATATTGAATTGATATATCTATATAGATAATTGATCAGCCACAGCGGCAATTCAACTGTCAAGAGGGTGTTCTGTTTGACCATCTATACCCGGAGGGTGTTCCGTTCCCACCCTTCTGTAGGATGTGCCGAGTCTCACGTTGCTGCAGGCATTGCTGTGGGTCCTGGACGCGGAGGCCACCTTAGATTGGATCGTTTCATATTCGTGTTCTATTTCTATGTTCAATCTTGAAGGACCGCATCCAAATGGTGGGGCACTGGAAAAAGCAGCGACCAGCAACATCAACATACAGCAACCAAACCCATCAATGAACTCAGCTATTGTTTGTTGAAACTTGTGGAACATGGTAATAGTTCGCCTAGCTGATTTCCGCTGCCAAAGCAATGTGTACTCCGTCCGTTTTATTCCTTTACTTTTATGCAACTCTTTCTCAGATGCATTCAGATGCGACGTGCATTTGTGGTGGGCCGACCCCCTGGACATCACAATGGCTGTGACGAGCGCTTGGAGGCTGAAATGGAATCACAGCGCCACGGGCAGCCAACATCGATATATGTAAATATAGATGTATAATTACTAATTGACAATGTATCACTCATTGTATAGTTATGATGGAGTTCTCGTAGCAAGCAGTTTTTGGAGAAAAGATGTATGATGACCAAACGCTAGGTTCCTCATAGATTGTTTGCGCACCGAAGCCGTGGCCGCTAGTGGCATGCTGAAGATTAGTCCAATGGCTCGTTCGATCATGCAAATCCTCAGGCAGTACAAAGGAACGCTTGGCACTTTGCCGCCCATGGTGGCTGTATTTTCAATGAGCCACTTGAACATTTTTATGCGCAAAACACGTGTGTGAACAAAAACATGTGAAAACATGCAGGACTACTTGAACATGTGGTGCGTTAATTGTCATCGTTTCCCTAACAGCAGCATCAGCAGCAGTGGGAGTATCAGGTAGTCCCTAGTAGATGCAGCATATTATTCCTCGATGCAGATGCTGCTGCTGCTGCTGCCGCCGCCAATGAAAACGATGATGACAGTGACGTTGTTACTAGCATGCTTGCAAGCAGCAGAAGCGGTAGGGGTTTCGATGATTATGAGATTCAGCCAACTTTCCTCTCAGGACAGCTGTGGCAGTGAGGAACCTGCATGCAAGACATCCTCACTGCAAGGTGCTACTCATCATGTTTGTTGTTTTGCCTATTATATTTGACATTTGTGCAGTTTAATGGTTATACAATCTAGTTGTTTGTTCATTTTGTTTGTTGGAATGGTGGACTGACGCCCCAATATGCTTGGATCTTGCTTATCACATGAGCAGGTATTCAAAAACAGCAGAGTCCAACACGCAAGCTTTGTCAGGTCGGCGCTAGGTTTCTCACTGGGGTTTCTAACTCAGCTCGGTGGGTCCGATAAGGAATGAAAAGGAGGTAGAGCACACTTAGACAATGGTTTTTCCGTGAACTCAATTACACGCGAAAAAGGACGATGGAACGGCAAGGTGAGCGAGTCCGAAAAATTTGAAGGTGTTTTAACACAGGAGGTTCAAGCGCTCAGAAATCGCTGCAAACGGCGGTGGCGCAGCTGCACGACCGTGAAGAACACGGTGTTGGGGTCTATCATGCAAGGACCATGGAATCAAAAAACAGCGAGAAAAGTAGGGTAGTGTCACGAGCAGGTACACGGAAGTGATCAGCTTCCGCTTCCTAGGATCTTGCAAGGAGCTTCGTTGGGCAGAGCCTTGCAAGTCCTCTCTGCCCCCTGCATCGAACAGGTGTAACCTTCAGAAAAAATAACCTTAAGAAAAGAACTCCTCGGGACAGAGTGTGACACACACACAGACAACACAGTAGCCCACTTGACCGTCACAGCTTTCACTTTCCGCACGTCGCGCGCACAGCTTTGAGAGTGTTTATACAACTTAAACACGGCAGCATTGAGTCCAGCCACAGCTTCAAACACCAGCAGTTTCATGAACAAATGGCGACCGATTTCTGCTGAGGTTGCCGTTTGCTTTAATTTTCCTTTGAGCGGTTATTTTCCTTCTATGTGAATTAAAACGTTTTCTTGTTGGCCTCCTTGAAGCGCATGCTGCAGGTCGCGATCCTTGACTTGGATGCGCATTTTGGAGCTGCTTAGTCGTTGCGTTTCATCAACGCTATGGTTAACCCATGTTAACCCGCTTAGTTTTGCATGCTCCAAAACGGACACGAACTCAAAGGTTCAGTTCCTCTTGGTTCACCTCCAAGGACGGGACCGCCTGGCATTTCTATGAGGACTGGAGTGAGTGAGTTCCGGAGGAGCCTGCCTAGAGCCTGGAAGGGAAGCAGATCTTTTGAGAAAACTCTTTAAGGGACCAATGCAAGAAGACTTGGTGAGGGAAGATTGCATTGTGGGTCAGAGCCCCAGTGCGGGTTCTGCATGGTAGATATAGACATAGGTGGTGCTTTTTCGGTAGAGCAAAGAAGAGAGAGGGAGAGAGAGAGGGAGAGAGAGAGAGAGAAAGAGAGGGAGAGAGAGCGAGAGAGAAAGCGAGGTTCTGATATGATGTGCTTGCATGAATAATTTTGACGCGTCACGACTCAAGGGACTCCTGTGGGGACGTAGGGAGCCCTTGAGACCGACCTTGGGTGAGTTGTAGGGACCCATCAGGCGAGTACCATCAGGTCATAGCCATGGCGATCTAAAGCAAAGCACTACGCAGTCAAACTTCAAGCCAAACACAGCCCTTCTTCGATGGCCTTCCAGCACTGGCCGAAAACTGGCCCGGCTATGGCCCTGACTAGTCCAGAGCCATGGGCCATTCGAAGCACCATTCATGGTGCCTCCGAATCGCAGTGTTGTACGCTTTGAATGTCAAAGTCATATGACTCTGCAATCTTTGTGCTCATCACCTACTCATGACCTGTGCGAAACCAGGCAGCCCGGGCAGAATATATGGTCATGGTGCTGGACACGAACCCCCAACAGCAGCCAGGTCGGATCCCAACTCGGGCAAACATGTGAACAATTACACTGTAGTCTTAGTGTACTTCTTACCTTTTCTTATTGAAGCTTAGTGAGGCTTCGCCGGGCAGAAGTTAACCCAAGGTGTGAGGCTTGTTGACAGCCACAGACACCAAGCCGGCTGAATGCAGCATCGAGTCTTCCAGCAATGAACCTTCAGAGGTGGACGTGGCGGTGCAGATCTTCCCACCTTTATTCTGGTCCTGACCACCGCTCCTTTCTTTGTCACAGCCCTAGCGAACCACAACAACATGCGAATAACTTACCCGTCGCTGGAGCTGTGATTGAATCACAACATCCCAGACTGAAACATCCCTGCTTGCCACTTGCAAACTTGCAATTGGAAAGGGCTCATTGGTTGGAGAAACTCCTGAACGTCCAGTAACAAGTGCATCGCTATTACTATAGCTAAAGCTTGCAGCATTCTTCCTGCCCTTACTGAATGCCAAAACCACCCCAACAATCTCAGGTGCAGGAATTCTTTGGCGTCGTCGCACCAGACGGACGTGACTTGGTTTGGATATGCACATCAATGTAATTATCGCCTATCCATCAGTACATGGTTTTCAGTAGATCACCGGTGGGTGAATGTAGTAGATTGTTCACCGGTTTGGATCTTGAAGCAGGTGATGCCAGATTGCTTGGTCACAAGTTACAAGGAAAGACCCTTTGATTTCACAGAGGAGCCTCCTAGCCTCGTAGCTGAGGCAAGTGTTTCAGCAGGCGCCGGCGCGAGAGAAAGACATGCAACTTAGCTTGAAGCACAGCAGACCCCTGTGGCTCGCACACGCACAGACGGCGCCGGATACATCCCTCCGACGACTTGTCCATCCGTTGCACAGATTTGCGTGTGGATCCTGTGTGCGACATGCTGATTCCTGTGTCTTTGTCAAAGGCGTTGTTCAAACAGAGAGAGACTGACCGACCGACCGACCGACCCAACCACTGACGGACCGACAGAGATGCCAAGCCTGGAGAATGGATATTTTCACACATGCGGGAGACAGAGAAAGATGCAGACACGTCGACAAAATTCCGATATTATTCTTAATCTTCTTACATGTGTCATGTTTCATATTTCTTCAGATCATTTCTTGATCGCAAGAACTAGTCATGTTTCTGGGAGTGCATACAGTCATGTTCGGTAAACCATTGACCCAACACTGTTGTGCTTGTTTGCGTTTTTGATGCATTGCATATTGGCCTGCCGGCGTGGAATTGAATTTGAGGAGTGTAAAAGAGAAAGAGCAGCCTGCTGCTTACATTGAGCAACAGCTTTCTTACTTGAGGAAGGCTGGCAGAACCAACAAGTCAGATCGATGCACAAAGCAGATCAATGAAAGGCAAATTGTGGCTCACACAGACAGCACGGACCAGTGCTGGGTGATGTAATATTGCATGGAGACATGCAATGCAATTGCAATTTCAGCAACCGCTTGGACACCCGCCTTTGTATGATGCTTGTATCGCAAGCACTGATTCCATTCCAAAATTGTGTTTTGTTCGTCACTCTTCCCGTGTTGTCAGTAGGCACCTAGGCACCCCCCTAGAGCAGGTGATTCTAGGGCCCTTGGCACGCAAAGTGTGAAAATACAAATATATGGCAGTCGATCGAAAGGTCGACATAAGGCCCATGTCACTGAGGGCCTCTTCAAGTTGTTCGCAAAAGTTTTTTCTTGACTTCGCAAAAGTAATTGTTTATTTGCGAAAGATCTGCGAAAGATCCTATCTACACATATCTACTCTATGTTAGAACTATGTATACTTCGTACTTCCTTCACTCAGGAGGAGCCTTGATTCCTGACTTTCGATGCAATCTTTAGGCTTCTAGCACACTCACATTGGTGATTTAGCTTGGCCATGCTCTTAGGCGCAGTCAGTCTTCAGTGGTACATTCACAAGCCTTTACATTGCACAATATAATATATATATAGCTCAGACTTGCGATGCGCAATCCCTAGGCTGTACAGTACTTGTAGCTCTTTTGTTGTTTCGCTTTGGGCCTAGAAATCCGCCAATGACGCGACATTTTTTGCGAAAGATTCGCGAAAGTTCCGCGAAAGCATAGGCCTTTCAGCAAGAAGGAAGTGTGATCAACCACCATATAGTGATATATAATACTTCATTGAGTTCAGAATCAACCACATTGTGCAACCTCTGGGGTCACAAGACGGGGTTGCAATTAGCAGGGGCTGTTGATGTCAAGCAGCAATTGGATCCAATACTCTATCTATACAGTCGATCTTCTGTCGGGCAGGAGAAGCCTCTGACAGATGCGCAAAAAGATACACAGAACAAAATAATGGAAGCCTTGAAAGAGGCACCGAAGGGCTTCAGATTATGCAAGTGCATGGAGGTCAAGGTCATCAAAGGGAGTCACTAAGTGAGGGCTTTGCCTCGCAGGCATAATTTTGGTACCCATTGCCAGTCCAGTGTCGTACGAACGGTATGACTTGCATTGTGCATGTTTTTGTGGCTTCCTCATTGAGGCATTGTTGGTATCCTAGCTGGCACTGTTCTTCAGTAGCATTGTGAATTTGAACATGTGACCACCACCATGGTGCCGCAGGCTTCCTTTTCAGCTTGCTTCGGCAATTTTTCAGCCTTGCTTTCGTGACAGTTGTTCCCGAATGCGTAGCGAAGTTCTCGTTTAACTCTGGGGGTAGAGCCTTGTTCGCGTTCGCAACCGTTGTCAACCGTCCCAACCGACCGCAAGTGTTCGCGGTAGGGCGCTAAGGCGCTGCCATTGTGGGAAGCTTTTGGAGAGGGTTTTGCATTGGAAGCGTGACGTGTCAGATTCGTGTGAAATAGCGGGGAGTCGTGTGGAAACGTAAGATGTTGAAGTGTGGAGGAGTATTTCACTGGCAGGCGCAGCGTTTTGTGAGATCCGCAGTTTTCTGCATAGTCACATTAGGATTGGCGTTTGGAGAGTGGTGTTTTGGGGATGTTGGATGTGGCTGTGACAATGGGATTTGCGTTTCAGGGTGTTGCATCAAAGCATATCGAAGCCGTGTTTTCGTGACAAGTCTCAGCTGAAATGGTGATGTTGGTCGATGGGAGTGTGCTCAGAATGTGTCGAAATCATGCCAAATCCCCAGTTGAGGGTCCAGATGGGCACCCTTCTCCAGGCCACCCTTGTTTACAAGGAACCAACATCACATCACCTTTGAATAATTTTTATTCTTTGAAGCGTATAAAATCTTATTTGTGCACTTTTTTCTTGATTCAAAATGAATTGAAATGATTTGAAAATGCACAAAAGTGTATTTGCCACTTGTGTTTCTGAAGGTGATGTTCATTAAACGGCTGACAAGTAATGCTTTAATCTACTGTGTTTGAAAGTCAGCATTTCGTTGTCATCCTCATTTTGTTGTGAGTGTTTGTTAGCACTTGAGAGTATTACTACTATTGATACTTCAATTTGTTTTTAGAAGAACATGTTTCAAGTTGTGAGTTTTATAACCAACTAAACCTTCGGGTGGTGGAACCTTCACTTACTGACATTCATTGGTTCATGAGTCACTTGATATGGTAGGCGCAAAACTAAATGCAAGCTGACCGACTATCACAATTTACATTTGTTTTACTGAGGGGCACTGTGCCTCAGTTGCTGCTGCTGAAGTCTGTGACTGTGCCTGATGTTACTGCCAGCTATTAGAGATCAGTGTGTAACAGTACTTATACATGCTGGCTTGTCAGTGTGGCAGTTGGAGGATTTGCATTTGCATATTGTTGCTCTTTCTCTGAATGAATGGATACTGGAGCTGGAGTATTTTGCACTGGAATACTGAATGAATACCGAATGAATACTTTTGAATCCTAGTTGAATACTGTTGGATTTTTATTTTCCGGAGCTGGAGTTGCACTTTTTTTGCACTTTTTCACTTTTGTGCACTTTTTTTGTCACATGGGTGCACTTTGGTGTCACTTGTGTGATTTTGCAAATGTCAGCTTTGTGCACTTTTTTTGTCACTTGCACGCTTCAGTGCACTTCTGTGTCACTTGTGTGCACTTCAGCGCACTTCAAATCCTTTCGGTGATTAAAGTTGAAGGCACATCAGCTTTGTGAACCTTTTTGTGAAAAAAAGTGCACAAATAAGATTTAAACTGATATCAAACTGATTTGAGCCGATTTGGAGCTGATTTGGAATTTCAAAAAACCTATAGGTGCCACCATCGTGACACTGCTGGGTGGCTCAGTGGTGCCTTTGGTCTCAAGACTTGCTTTCAAAAAAGTTGCCCGCGCTTTGCGCGGAAGAGGAGTGAAGAGTAATGATTACAGCATTGGTCCCATAACAATAATGAATGCTTGTGATGGAGCTGGTGTTGTGTTGTTGGGCGTGCTTCGCACGCAAGAGTAATGCATATATTTGATTTGATTACTGAACAGTGTGTGGTGGGTCTTTGTGTCTGAATAGGAGAGTGACCCAAGGAAAGGCCCTTGAGAAAGTGGGTTTGCCTGTTGGGAATTCAATCTGATTGCAGAGTTTGCCAATCAACCAATGAACTGCAGTGAATTTTACTTACTTACTTACTTATTTACTTACTTACTTACTCACTATTCAATATTTTTACAATCCCTGCCACCACAGTTAAAGCTTGACTACTTTCAACAAATACTTTTCAATGCCTTGCAAAAACCTTACTTTGTCACAAGCCGGGCCAGCGCAGAGCTCTTGAGCCAAAACTTACTAGGTTAGTTCAAAAACTTTCAACGAGGCCAGGAGCGATTACCGTAAAGGAAACCATTTGTCCTTAGTACTTATTTCATTGTATTTTGTAAGTTGGCTTGTTGCTAGACTTGTCAACTTATCGTAAAAGGCTATATTGAACTTTCATTTTGTCTGCAAGTTCACTGCAACTTCACTCGTGGACTTACTCATGAAAACACATTTGGTTCACTCATACTTTTACTCGTTGATGAATTTTTTCAAAATCATGTCTAATCAGTTTTGAGTCATTTTTACTCTTATTTGAGTATAATTCCTAATCATTTTAAATCTTATTTGTGACAATTTTTCGCTTAAAAAGGGGTTCACTATGATCAAAAAAAGTCAATCATGCCAAAAATCACTAGCCAGAGTGACCTCGAAGGGGAGCGGGCGTTGTTGGGACGAAACTGCTTGGCAGGGCTGCTTGACGTGTGTCGCTTGACTTTTGGAGGAAGTCTCGTACGAAATGCTCGTTTTGGAGACTTTGACATGTGACTTTTGGAGGAAGTCTGGTACAAAGCGCTCGTTTTGGAGACCGCACGCTGACTTTTTGGAGGAAGTCTCGTACGAAACGCTCTTTTTGCAGACTCGAAGCGTGACTCTTTGAGCAAGTCCTGTACGAAACGCTGGTTTTGGAGGATTCACGCGTGACTTTTGGCATTTGGAGGAAGTCTCGCACGAAATGCTTGTTTTGCAGACTCGACGTGCGAGTTTTTTTGAGGAAGTCTCGTGCGAAACGCTCGTTTGCAGACTTGAAGCGTCCCACAAGAGTATCCGACAAGAGCGTCCCACAATATCCCACAATAATAGTGTCCGACAAGGGTGTTCCATAAGAGCCGGCAAGAGTGTCCTAGAGTGCCCCACAAAAGTGTCCCACAAGAGTGTCCCACAGGAGTATCCGACAAGAGTGTCCCACAATAGTGTCCAACAAGGGTGTTCCATAAGAGTGTCCGGCAAGAGTCTTTTACAAGAGTGCCCCACAACAGGTGTCCCACAAAAGTGTCCGACAAGAGTAAGACTGTTCCATAAGAGTGTCCGACAAGAGTGTCTTACGAGAGTGTCCCGCAAGAGTGACATACAAGAGTGTCCCACAAGAACGTCCTACAAGACTGTTTCGCAAGAGTGTCCTACAAGAGTGTTCCGCAAGAGTGAATGTCATGCAAAAGTGCCCCACAAGAGCGACAAGCAAGAGTGTCCCATAAGAGTGTCCCGCAAGAGTGTCCCAAAGAGCGTCCTTCAAGAGTGTCCCACAAGATGTGGCTGACGAGCCTCAACGTTACCCAGCTGGAGCATGAAAAATATGAAAAAGACGTTAGCGAGCTGGAACACAACATACCAGGGTTACACAGATGGAAAACTCATGAGCGTTGGATGGCAGAGTCTCGAGTGTTCGTACCTGCAGTTTTTCATACTTGTGCAGAGGTATATATATGACCATCAACCACAGCTTCAGAAAATCAGCGCTAGATAAAGTAACACTTGAACGCGAAAGCATCATTCACAAAAAAACATACCATGATGTATATAAAACAGAATACTTTGTTTGCTGGTACCTGGGACTGGGGATGTATATTATGCAGGCACTCGGTTTGGACATATATAGCTTGGCAGTCGATTTGAATATATCTATGAATATTTTCAGCATATGTAACTATTGGAACGTGTTTGCATTCGGGTTCTCCATCTTGTTTTTTGGTAGAGACAGCGGTACCTCTACCATTTTTTTTGGAGTGCCACGACCTTTCCCAGTGTCGAAGGGCCTTTGCCTTTGGAGCCGCCAGGGCAAAATACCTCTATTGGACGGCGTGACGGGCTGTGGGAAGACGAGAATTCTAGAACATGCCACTTGGAGAAATGTTGCACTGGACACGCACGAAGCACCACCAGGCATACATTCTTGGAAGGAACCTATTTGATCCACTGATGGCCCGGTTTCTAGTCACTAGTCAATAGCGGTATTTCCTTTCTGCTGGGCCATCAACGGTCGTATGGATACATGGTACTTGAACAATTTTCCAAGGATAGGTTTACTTATTATGCTTTGTCCCACCCACAGTGCGGCATGTTTTTCACTGCGCCTCTATATAAACGCTGTACCCTCAATGAACCATGGGTTCAAAAGGGTTGCATCATTCGTGCACTGATGGCACCGTACCCCGACCAGTCCTCATACTACAGTTTGAGGTCATTGCCGAGCTCAAGCCAAAGGCGGCATTGGTTTTGGCACCTGTCAAAGCAGCATGGCAGCAAGGAACAAGTTCTATTGAAGGTTGTGCTTGCAGATGCCCACCGACCTAAACTCCAGCAGATTAGCACCGCTGACACTGCACGGTGGCTACAACCTATTTTCAAAGGTGCTGTCACTCAAGAAAACAATACGAACGTTGTGGCTTGCCATGCCACGCTAATTATGTCATGTGGTTTGCTAGCTGCTAATGTCGAATCTAATCAGTCAACTGGGAGGGAAAAATACACAGTTTGTGCGACATTATTCACACCCTGAGTGTTTTTCTTTGCCCAGGATGACTGCTGCTACTGGTAACAGCTTCCCTCCAGAATCTCATTGGCATGACTTTTCTGTGCCAATGGGGTTCTGCAGGGGCAATTTCCATCCCAAACTAAATGTCAATATATATATATATACTACATTATAATGAATGGACTCGGTGTGGAAATTGCTCCGCTGGAATTTCACTGTGACCCCCTGAAGGATTCCAAGGGGAAGGGTTGTAGGTCCTGTATTCGCAGGCTTGTTACCAACTTTTGTCCTGCTTGTGCGTCCCAGACGGGTTGTTCTTCGAAGTCTAAGGGACTGGCTTGTTACAATCGCCAATCGCGTATGTTGAAAAGGTTGGCAAAGTCCCACCACAAAGGCATTCGATTTAAGGTATTGGTAATGGTACTTTGCGTCCCGGACGGGCTGCCCAAATAGTTTTGGTGAGTTGGCTTTGTTCACTCTCCCTTGATTGTTTGCAAGGCGGGGGCAGCTTATTTAATATCGCGAATCGCACACTAAACTGCTTCTTACGCATTCTTTCGGGTGCAGTCTGAATCCAACATACATATGATATACTGTATTGCGGAAACTCCTTTGACTGCGAAAGCGGTCTGCGGTTCATCAGGTACACTTCTCATTTGTGCGTGTCATGTCTATGACATGTGTGCACTGAGTACTTTGCATGTTTGATTAGCACTCCTCCTTCAGGGCTTGAGTGCCTCAATCAAGTTCTGACCCTTCCGGTCGTGGATCCATGTACAGGAAGCAATCTTCCATCAACCTGTGCATTTTGCCTGCCATCTCATGGTCATTTGACCTCATGGCATGATACCAAGTGGCCTCGATCTTGGCAAGTTCTTGCCGGGCCTTCAGATCCGCTCTGTTGTAGAGCCTGTTCATGAAATTGAACTTGTACTCGTCGATTTCGATGGGCTCTGGCTGCCATGCATCAGGATGATCTTGTCCTGCTTCTGGCGTAGTAGTGCTCTCCATTGTTTCATCTTCATCATCATCTCCTGGATTCGGTTCTGGCTCTGGTGGTGGATCTGGGGTCTGCACCACCTCCTGTGCAATCTCAAGATACTCAATGGGGATGTCGACGGTCTCCCCACTGTCGAGCTGTACTGTTGCTGTGTCTACTGAGCATTCGTTCATCACCTTGATCATCTTGTCCTCGTCGTGAAGGTCCAGGGTCATCCATCGAGAACCTGTTGGGGATCCTGGCATTTCCTTGTTCACAATGTCCTACTGCACCTTCAAATGTAGTCCTTCACGACGTCGATTCTTCAGGGTGTCCCACTCTAAACCATCTCGAAGCCAAGGCTCTGTGATCCTCTGAGTATAGTCCATCTGCATTGACCAAACCTTCTCTTGCTCTTGGAAGGCGTTGATGTTGTTGTGCGTTTGCACTTCCAACCCGTTCTCCAGGATCACGATCCTGTTCTCCAGGCTCTTGAACTTCCTTCGAATCCAATACACCAGGAAGATCACCGCCATGATCACGATCAGGTAGAAGAGCTTCTCGAGGAAGTTGTTGCCCTCTGACAGGTCTGGTTTCACCCTTGCGCCAGTAGCCAACTCAAGACCGCTAACGAAGACCAGCCTGTTCAGGTATTTAACATCTTCATCACCTTGCCCTTCTCAATGTGTTGTTCTCCAACTCGAGCTCCTTCACCATCTCGGGCTTGTAGCCAGTAGAGCAAAAGTTTCAACCTGCTCCTTGACAAAGGCTTTGTCCCAATGTCTGCTAGATTGTGAGCCGTTCCAATCTGCCGCACCTCTAGCTCACCATTTGCCACTTTGTCTTGACACCAAAGCAGCTTGCCACTCACATGCCTCAACTTCCCTGCTCCACGTTTGCATGCGATTTGTCTCGTGGCCGAATTGTCCACCCAACAGATGTGGTGTACATCATCACCTGTAAGGAACTGCAAGCTGTGCTTCAGACAAATTCCATCGCAAGCTCCTGAGACCAGTGCATGAAGCTCGCTCTCTGCTGATGACAGACTGACCACCTTCTGTCCTCTGGAAGAACAATGCACCACAATACCATTGACTGTAAGAACTGCTGATGAAGCGCTCCTCCTTGTAGCACAGTTACCATTCCAATCTGCGTCGGTGTAGGTCTCCAGCCACAGGAATGGACTATGCGTGTTCATTCCATCTCCTCTCTTCGGCATTGGGAGCATCATCGACTACTCTTCCGTGTCCTTGAGGTAGCCAAGGAACTTCCTCATCTGTATGGAAACCTCAGTCGGGCTTGACATCTTCGAGGCAAGCTCCTTGATGCAAAAGGCAATGTCACATCTCTCTTGGGCCAAATAAATACCCATGCCAACCACTGATCTGTAACTATATTGCTGCATCCTCTGCCAAAACTGTGTTTGAACCGTCGAACTCCTGGATGTCAGCTGTGGCAGGTAGTTGCTGTCGCTTGACCACTCCGAAATGATCGTCAAAAGTCTTGACCATGTTGGTTGCATATCCACCTGGCTTCACCGAAAGGCCTCTGAGGTGTAGATTTACTTTCTTTTCAAAAATGAACATTCCTCCCCATAGTTCTTGACCATGCTCACCTCGTTCTCGAACTCCTTCATTTGTGTGATGGAATCGTCCACTGGCTTTTCCCTTCCAGTGAACATGATGTCATCAACATGAATCAGCACACACACCAAATCCTCTCCTGAACCCTTCTTGCCCAGGCAGGGGTTGATGTCGAAGGTGAAGTCCTGCTTCTCCGTGAGGCAGCTGTTCATACCAGGCTTTCGCTCCAATCCTCTGTCCACTTGGTATTCCAATGCGCAATGGTCGCTCTTGGGGAACCTGACATCCAAAGCATCCTTGACATCCAAAGCTCCAATCGCAGGCTTACCTTTGGTGTGCTAGTCCATCTCAGCGCTGGCTCCGAGAACTAGCACCGGCAACAGTCGTAGGGCATGTTGTCCACTTGCTGGGCTATACACGTCATCTCTCTTACCCACGGCATAGTCCCGTGCAACAAGTCGTGCCCTTCTGAGCCATCTCTTTCGCTTCGTGCCATTCTTCTCCACATAGGTCTTGATCCGCCAGTCATAGACGAACCTTGTAGTGAGCACAACCAAATTGGCCTCATCTGGCTTCAACTTCTGGATGACTTCCATTCTCATCGGTCTCTTCTCCTCAACCTTTCTTGCAATGCCATCTACTTCTTCTGAAGGTTGTGGTGGTGTCTGAGTCAGTGGATGATCTGACCACAGCTCCTCTGGAATGGCACCAGGTTTGAGGTCCTCGACATCCTCCTGCCCATCCTCAATCATCAAGGTCTCCACATCCACCACCTCGTCCAGATGCTGATAAAGGTCCTCTCCAGCCACGTGAACACGCTCGTCCTTTCTCTCAACCATCATTGCTCTTGAAGCTGATGAAGACTGTCCTTCTCTTTCTGGCTCTTCAATTCTCAGTCTCTTGCTGTCGGGCTCGATCTTCACTGCTGATGAAGGTGGTGGGAGTTTTCGCAAAATTCTCCCCTCAGGAGGTACTGTTTCTTCTTCGTCCCATGGGAGTGGTGGAATCACGGAACATCTTGGGCCCTCAGACTGTAAATCAGGAGCTGAAGGCACAACCATTCCTGTATTGGGCTCATCTCTCTGCGGGGCACTTGGTGATGGTAGACCTTCAACAGCATCTGAACAGTTCAGCCCTTTCTCTCCTGCCGGACTTCTTCAATCTCTTGTTCATGCTCAACACCTACACCTCTTCGGCCTATATCGCTTCACCTCTTCGGCCTCCTCGTCCTTGTAAGAACACCGACTCCAAAGCTGGATCCTGTGCGTAGTGGGATGCCAGCTCTCTTCGTGGGAATGATGCGTCCACCGAAGTTTGTCTGATACTCCCAGCTTGCCGTCTCAAAGTTCTGGTAATAGCTCAGGAATCCTGTCCATGGCCGGTTGACTCTCCTGATCGACCTAGTCAACAATTGGGCTTCCATCTCCAACAATCCACACATCTTGTCCATCTGTCTTTCCAAGGAAAAGGGTCATCCTCCATCTTGGATTGCCTTTACCGCTTTGTGGGCGCACGTAGGCATACACAGGACATCACAGGACAACCGAATGGAACCACTGCTCCTTCATAACTTCTCCCTCTGGGTTGGGTCCTGCCCGGATTGAAGGAATCCCTGGAGCCTCAGGTGAGACCTTCTGCAATCACCGTCCCGGGCTCCGCTACCATGCGGAAACTCCTTTGACTGCGAAAGCGGTCTGCGGTTCGTTCATCAGGTACACGTCTCATTTGCGCGTGTCATGTCAAATTGACGCGTGGCCAATTTGGGTTTGGCCTAGCTTCTATGCATTTTATCATCAGTTTACGATGGTCGCGCGGCTGAAAGCAACATTGGGGCACCTTAACTTAGGTAAAGACAACAAATCAATGTTGCACAGAACCCCGTGAGCAAATTCTAAGTAAACAGCTGAGTCAACAGTGTCTTTGTTCTTGATTGTTCTTGAACAGTTTATTTTTAACAGTGGACACCTCGCGTTGATTTGGATTGCAATTTGCCATCCGGATGTAGTGAACCTGTGAAAAGCTTGCTCCCGCAACCGATTTGATTGGCGAGGTAGTTCATTCGTCTTGTTCTGAGCTGTGTGCATGTTTTTCCTGATGGCAACTTATTGGGTTGGAGTCGGAGTCCATAAATGAGAATTTGCGGAAAGTACGGTGCAGTATGCCACAGCAGTGGGATGTCGAAAGAGGTGGTGGACATTGACAGGTCACCATGTACAGAATACAATTGGAAACTTGAATGTAGAGTGGTGCGAAATTGGGAACATCTGGAAAAGGTTCACGTGCATCGGTTGCTTTTGCAAATTGTTTGTCTTCGTTGTCCCCTAGCTGTGAACACAAGCGCCCATTAGTTCTTTGTCTCGATACTCTGCAGCCTTTTGCGCACATGGTTCATCTATATATATATATATACTGTAATTGGTCCATGGGCGGCAACCTCAGCCGATCACTACCATGTTTGTGCAGCAAAGCGGTGCAGTGAAGTTTTGCCTGACGAGCACCGACTTGACTCGCACAGCATTGAACTATGTGCTTAAGCTTCCCTATTTCCTGGGGCTCTTGCTTGCTTGCTTGCTTGCTTGCTTGCTTGCTTGCTTGTATTCATTCGTCCGGTTGCTCCCTGCATTTGTGATGTGTTATGTGTTCGCGTATTTTTATATGATGTAAAGTTTAAAAATTATTCAACTGTGTGGCTACAAGTACGTCATCCCTCGACTGGTCCACGCGTGCCTCCAGGGTGAATACGTATAAAGATACTGTTAGTTAGAGGTGTTGTCGTTCAACTGTTTGACCGGTTTTATTTGACGTGGAGCTTTATGTGGAGATGTGAGAAAGAAAAAACACCCCGTGCCCATGAGGTTAAAATGTGCATGTCACTTTTGTCTTGAACATGCTTCATTCACTGTACAATGACGATTAAACAAGTACGCCGACAAGATGGTGCATAGTTCGGACATGTCACCAGCTGCTTCACCCGTTGAACCCGAATAAACAGATCCAATGTACGAGTCACCAGGGGACGAAATCAATAACAGGATGATCCCGAATCCCGGGCCTAAGAGTTTGTCCCACTGGAGGGGGGCATGTTCCTTAGCCTGCCAAAATAGACTCGGCAGAACTGTTTGCGCACAATCATGTTCAAGAGAGATTGTTGAAGGGAAAAGTTTTGTGAAACCTTTCACCTGGCTACATTGATTATTTTGCATGATGTTGAATCGCTTGCGCAATGTGGGGCAAACTGTCGTTTCCATGTGTTGTGTATGATCAGTATGATTATATTTCTGCAGGACTGTTTGGAGTGATAGATGACCCAACAAATAAAGCAGCCAATGTGGTATTGCAGCCTTGCGAACTACCGCGAGCGCTGCGATTTAGGTCTATTTTGTTGTCAACTGGATTGACATGTTGATATTGAGTAAACCACCTGCCTCAGGAGCTGGCCAAGCAGAAACTTGGATGCAGACTAGGTGAAGTCCACTTGCCAAGTGAAGGAATCGGCACGGGCTTTTTGGCGGAACTGTGGCTGAAAGATTGACGGGCTTTTTGGCGGAACTGTGGGTGAAAGATTGCCAGCCAAGGCATCATAGAGTCTTCCAGGAGGACTTTGTGAATGAAAGCTGGAAAACCCACTTGTTCATTTCATCTACGAGCGGCTCAGCTCAAGATCTGCGTCAAGACAAGCAATTGCACATAATGACATGGCAACTGCTGACATCCAGAGCAAACCCAAGTGGGCGACCTTTAAAAACACTTTTTGTCCTGTTATGTTGTGTCAGGTATATTTGTAGAATACTGCAATAGTATGGATATAGGCTCCAAGTCGTTGCTTGCTGAGGCCACTATTATCCCAATAAACCTATTCAAGAGGACGAGCAGGATGGACTCAAGGTGGGGTTGTATTTGTTGATCGCACTCAACTGCTTCACTTGCATCATGCGTACTTCGGCGCCATTTCAAAAAAACGGAATATCCAAAAGACACTTGATTCCTATCACTACAAAGAATATTCCTGTCAAAACACTTTATATAATCCGCATCCCCCCCAAAAAAGAACATATTCCCACATACTCGTTTGGTCCTGGTCTGCTGGTTCCCTGGTCGCCTGGTCCTCTGGTCCCTTTGTCCTGGTCATTTGGTCCCTTGGTCCTTTGGTCCTGGTGTTTAGGTCCTTGGGTCTGTACTTTCGAGGCAAGACGCGTTAAGGGTGACTTGGAATTTTCTGGTCATACATCCCGTGAAGCAAGCAGATCTTTTGTGAACCACCCGATGCTCAAATTTAGACGAGGAAGAGTGAGGAAGGTGCCATTCCAAGGTAGCAAACCTTTTGTGAGCCACCCGCCGGGCAAAATGTAGAAGAGGAGGGGGCCACTCCTCCGTAGCAGACCTTTTTGTATTTTTTTGTTGGCCTTGCGACGGCAAAAATTAGAAGAAGACGATGTTGTCATTCCAACCTGGTAGGCCTTTGTTTTGTCAGCAACCTGAGGGCAGAATTTGCGCAAGGTAGAGTAGACCTTTTGTAGACTAGTAGACCTTTTGTGAGCCAACCACTTCAAAGGTCTTGAGATGCAGAGGGGTCTGGGGATTCAGATCTAGTGGTCTGGAGGAGAGGTCTACATCTACAAGGGTCCAAAGGCCTGGAGATGAGAAACCCAGAGGTCTAAAGATGTGGTCTCCAGATCACAGGTCTTGAAGTCTGTATTCTAGTAGATTGTAGAGGTCTAGACAGATCTAGAGGGTCAAGAAAGATCTCAAGGCCATCCAGAAAGATTCAGAAAGGATTTGAGATGCAGAGAGAGGTCAAGAGTCAAGAGATCTTCAGATCCAGAGATAGCAAGAGTTTTTTTCAGAGGCCTTGAGATCCACAGAGATGCTGCGCCTGCCACGCCATCTGCACTTCGAGGTAACCAGGTTCGCAACCGCTGTGCCACGAAATCTGCGCCTTGAGGTTCACAAAGTGCTGCCCTTGCCGGTTCACAAATCACTACGCTTGCCACAACATTTGCTTTTTGAGCGAGGTTCACGAAGTGCTGCGCCTGCCACGAAATCTGCATTTCCAGTGTGCAAAGTGCCGCGCTAGCCATGAAATCATATGAAATCTGCAACTGACTGAAGGTGCTCAAAGTGCCGCGTTTGCCACGAAATCTGAAACTGAAAGTGCTCAAAATGCCGTGTTTGCCACGAAATCTGCACGTCAAGATTCACATCGCGCAGCCCTGTCCTGCTCTTTGTGAATGGATATTTATATATTTATATTTATTTGATATAGTCTATAGTTCTTTTTTGGATCGCGCAATTAATATGTTTCTTGTTGATGCAACTTTTTTGACAGCCCGGCCAGGTCAAAAGACGGCCCAACGAGAAACACAAGGTCGGACATTTTTGCTTTCAAGTCATCCCTTGGAAATTCATTTGGTCCTTGAACGGTCCCGGACCTCCGGGGGATCAAGCAACCGGGCGGTGCATGGTTTGTGAACATATCGGAGCGGTCCGAACGGGCCACGCAGCTGAAAAAACGATCCCCCTGTTGCAAATTGCTTGGGAGTTGCTTGGCGAAGCTATTGGATGCATGATGCCCACGGGCTTATCGGTCACCCAGTAGTTGAGTTCATGGTTCATTGACGCGGAGATGAGGCAAATTTGAAAAATATTGAAACATGACCAGAACTTTTGTGCAAGTGGAAGTTGAAGCGGAGTTTCCTAGTGACCCTGGTGCATATTCTAGTCCAGGGACCGTTCAGGCATTTGCTGTTTGCATTTGCTTGCTTTGGTATGCTGCGCCGCTGAAATTGCTTGGGACAATCAAGATGATGGCTTCAACCTCCTGCCAGGACATTGAAGAGCATCGAAGAGCCACGTTAAACGATGTCAAAGGTGGAGATTTGGTTCTGATTGGTCCTTGAGACGTCGGACCTGCACAAAGCCTTTTATGTAGAGCCTGCATGCAGTTCATGGCACAGAGTCCAAAAAGTCCCACCAATTCACAATACACTTCTTTCACAGATACACCAATTCCCACATTCACACGAAATACATTGAGGCTGCAGACGGGGGGTTCTCCGGGCGAAAACAACACAAGCAAACGTCAGACGAGTCGAAAACGCGGAGCCTGCCTGTGTTTCTGATAAAGCGCGCTTGCTTTGATGCATTGAACAAGTGCTAAGACAAACGTTTTTTTGAAAAAATCCGTGCGAAGAAGTCGAATATGAACAGAGTAATGCCAGATTTGGACAATGTGTTTTTCATCTCCCCAGTCAAGGTGTGGTTTCATGCTTTTTGCCTATCGCATTTCATGCTGAAAAAACCTTCAAAAATATTGCTGCTGGCACCAGTGAAAAGTTGATGTTGTGCTTTTTACAATGTAAATCACAGTACATTTGCACGGCCAAAAGAAAAGCTATGTCTGATAGTCAGCCCTTTTTTGTCTGATCGTCATTCCTTTCGGTCTTAAGTTTGCCGCAGTGCTTTTTTGAAAGCATCGCGTGGCACCACGCATGCTTTGCGCGAAAAATCGCAAGAGCCCTCAAGACCCGTTTCAACCCAGGTCCCTTGTTGAGGTAGTGAGCAGCAAGGAGAAGCAAAGCTTATCCTCATAAAATGGCTGCGACTTTCTGTTTCGTTTCACGCGTACGTTCGATTCTGAATCCGTCCTGCACATATATATTTCGGAGGCCTAACCCAAAAAGCAAATGGGCCTGAGTGTTGAAAATGACCGAAGCTGAATTGACCTGAGTGCCCAGGCGGAACCTACTTTCCAATTTACTGTATATGGATATATGGGCTTTGCTTCGTATCTAAAAACGAGAAACCCAAGACTTTTAACCGCAGTGTTGTGGCTTAAGGGTGAATGGCCTCCTTGAGTAGGGGAGGCCGACAAGCCATACACTTCGTGGACAACTGCGCTTGTGCGTGTTGCGCGGCTGTCCAAAAGCTGTTCTTGTTGCTCTTCTACGAGGGGTCGACAGAACAGCTCCGTGCTCGAGCAGTCCCGGTTCTCCAGGAGGCCTACACTCAGCTCCTGGAGGGAGCCTATTTGGACCGGCTGCAAACTACAGCCCCTGGGACTTTGGGGGGTTTCACAGGAGGGGCCGCCTCTCCTGGACAAGCGGGAGCACCAGCTCCTGGTGACGCAGGTGGAGAGCGACCCGGAGGTCCAACTCTTCCACCATCCGGGCCCGATACAGCACGGCCTGGTGATCGTGATCGAGGAGAAGGTGCAACATCTTCGGTTGGCGAGGTTACGAGCCCTGGTACTCACGAAGCAGCGGGAGAAGGTCCAAGCTCTCCTGGAGAGACACGTCCACCACTTGCTCGAAAGCGGCGAGTGAAAGAGGAACCATCCACAGAGGAGGAGAAGGAGGCTCGTTCTGGTCGTGATCGACGTCGGAGGAGGGACTCTGGTGAGCGTCGAGGGAGAGAAAGGACCAGGGCGAAGACAGGTGAGGCTGAGAAGACAAAGAGGAGTGAGGAGCCAAAGCCCAGCCGCCGCGAAGGGCTATTGCTGAGGAGGAGACAAAGGAGGAGAAGGATAGAGCAGTGGCCAGTGACCCAAGCTCCCAAGGGCGAGGGGGCCAAGAAGGTTCTCCCGGGGGAATCGGGAGAAGACGAGGAGGGCGGAAAAGCGGAGAAGGCCAAGTCGAAGAAAAAGGGAAGAAGCTGAAGAAGGCCCGAGACAAGGTGATTGGCATCAAGTCCGCAGAGGCCCTCTTCGCCACGACAGGGCTCGATCCGAAGGAGGAGACTCGGCGGAGGTTACGCCGCAAGGCCAAGAAGTTGGGCAAGCGCTCCCGGAACAAGAAGGATTCGTCAGGAACGTCATCGTCCAGCGGGAGCTGTTCACACCCCTGACTGCGACTCAGCGAATCTGGCGGCGATACCCCGGCGTCCTTACAGCAACTATGGTGTTGGAGGCCCAGCGCACTATGATGCTTCAGCTAGGGGCCTCACTCCCGGAAGCAGAGAAGGCGGGAGTGAGGCCCATTATCCTGCAGTACTGCCGGCAGCAGCTATGTCAGAACATGAGCCCGCCAGTGGCCAGGGAGGCATTGCATTGGGCGGCGACGATGGACATGTTGTTGGAAGGTCGGGTGTCATCTGCATTGGATGTGATGAGCCAGCGGCTCAAGAGCCTGGAAGGTTTGTCACGAGGGCTTCGTGCAGATCTATTGCGGCAGATGGAGCTCCTTCCATTGGAGAAGGGAGGTCTGGCATCGAATACGGAGGTGAACTTGGCCGGACAAGCAGCCCATCAGGAGGCCAAGATCCTACATCGGGCGAGCAGCGTTCCGTGGGAGCGCAGCAAAGGCAAGGAGAAGAACGGCAAAGGCAAGTGGAAGGAAGAGAGATCAGAGAACAAGGGCGACAAGGGCAAGAAGGACAAAGGCGACGGCAAGAAGAAGGCCAAGGGATCGGGAGAGCAAGGCCCTCCTGGTCGGAACTATGCATGGCACTATGACTGCACCCGAAGAGGAGGCAGGTCCGGCTCCCGGGTGTCGGGAGGTGGAGATGGCAGAATTTGATGGGAAGGCAACCACAGTAGTCGAGATGACAGGAAGTGGTGCCCTACCTGCTGTTCACCTCATATTCCAGCGAGCGGCTGACCTGTTGCGAAAGGACGAGCAATCGCAGGCACGGCGCTCCAACAAGGACACCAAGACCGAGCCCAATACCCCGTTGTTTCCGCTGACTGTGGAGGCGCAGTACTGGGCGACGTTGATGGAGTCCGGTCACCCGCTGGCTGATGGCAAAGTGCTCTCTGGAGTGGTCCGTGGCTTGAATCATTTGGCTGGATTTGCAAGCGCCGACTCACGACTGCAGGGCCGCAATTCTTCGCAGGCGACTACGCCTACCAGATCGACCATGCAGGCGCAAGTTGAAAAAAGGCTAGCTGCTGTTGTGAGTCGAAACCACTTTTGGAAAGAAACGGACACGGAGGTTTGCTTTGATACGTTCTTTTTAAAAAGAAAAGTTGACTACATGGGGGAAGAGGTTAAGGTTGCACAGTGCATGACATGGGCGGCTATCCAAGAGTCGCTCCCTGATGCTGTGGGTAGCCTGCCATTGGAGAAGTTTTGCCGGCTCGGAACCTTGGAGTATGTGACAAATTTTGAAAAGTACTTGGTCCCTCGGGGTATTCAAGTAAGGCCCAAACCACCACGTGTCATGTGCAGTGACTCGGAGTGGCCCCAGATTTGTGCTGGGCTGGTGAGCAAAGGATTGCGCGAGGTTTGGCCAATCGAACGTTTGCACCATATTGAAGGGCTGCCCTTGTTGAATGGCCTTTTTTCGGTAGGCAAGGGTGAGTTCAAAGATAACCTGGAGACTCAACGCTTGATCATGAACCTTGTGCCAGTCAATACACTATATGCAAGAGCCTCATGAAAGATGTAGGAACTCTCCCCGCGATTTCGGGAATGAGTGGGTATCTCCTGGACCAGGGAGAAGTGGCCCTTTTGTCGAGTGAAGACATCCGGTGCTTCTTCTACTTGTTCGCCATCCCGGAACAATGGAAAGTCAGTATTGCACAGCACATCCATCGTAATGTGGTACGTTGGAGTGCGATGTCAGGTGATATACACGTGGGCGCCGAGGGAGAGCTGCGAAAGGACAGGCCTATGTCATCTGCTTCAAGTCTCTATACAGGATATACTTGGACAACTTTGACGCGCTTGAACGAGTGTCCTCGAGCGTGGCAGGGGAGATCAAAGGCACTGTCAAACCGCAGGTTGAACAGCTCAGGCAATTCTATGAAGAGTTGGGCCTGCCGAGACACCCCAAGAAGGCGGCTCACATTGGGAGAGATGCAAGGTGCCCTGGTGGACGGGGACCTGGGCTATGCCATGCCGAAACCCCAAAAGCTGGTTCAATACTGGTACGAGGCCAATCAACCCTCAGGGAGTTGCAGGTCGTTTGCGGAGGATTCGTGTACATTGCTATGTTCCGCCGACCCCTGTTGGGTAGTCTGAACTCAGTCTTCGAGCACATGAAGAGCTTTGATGGGGAGGCCCCAACAGTGGTCAGGTTAGCACTACCCTATCAGGTGAAGATCGAGATCGCGCGTTTCATCCTGCTTAGCCCTCTTGCTCAAATTGATTTCAGGATCCCAGTGGACGGTGAGGTTACGGCTTCCGACGCGTCTACCACAGGAGGGGGTCTTTGTGCTTCAGTTGGACTGACTTCCTACGGGGTTAGCGCAGCCAACTGCCCTGCTCGTGGTGATCTTCCTGAAGAGCATGACCTGGTGCAAGTCCTTAGCGTGGGGCTGTTCGACGGGATCGCGGCCCTGCGGGTGGGTTGTGATGTTGTGGGACTGCCCATGGCCGGGCACGTGAGCATAGAAATGGACCCTCGGTGCCGTAGAGTAGTAGAAAGCTTCTTTCCTGAGACGGAGTTCCACGAGGACGTCTGTGCTTTTGGTGATAACCAGGTTCAGGCCTTGGCCTTGTGTTGGACTCATCCTGGTGGGTGCTGGGCCACCCTGTCAAGGGGTGAGTGGCCTGAACGCCGACCGCAAGGGCGCGTTACGGGATGAGAGAAGTTGCCTCTTCAAAGAAGTTCCTCGTATAACTCAGCTCTTCAGACGAGCCTTCCTTTGGGCTCAGGTACATGAACTCATTGAGAATGTGGCCTTGATGAGTATTGAAGATAGAGCAATCATGAGGCGGGAGTTTGGCCGAACTCCTGTGAGAATGGATGCAAAAGGGATTTCATTATGTGCACGGCCAAGATTGTACTGGATTAGCTGGGAGCTTCCTGAGCAGCAGGACGTCGAGGTAGGTGAGTGCTCAGGTGAAGGTTGGAGTCGCTGTCAACCACTGCAGTTGAAGGGAAAGGTGAACGGTAAGGCCCTCCTGATGCCGGGATGGTCACTTGCTGAAGGCTGTCACCTGCCAACTTTGACGACTTCTAGGCCAAGGGCAACGCCAGGAAGGAGGCCGGCAGGGTTACAACACTGTCAACCTCACGAAGTTGCCAGGTGGGAGGCAGACCGACATCGTTTCCCGCCGTACCAGTACAAAGATGACCACGTCCTATGGAACCGCCAAGGCATGTGGCGACGACAGGCATCCAGGAACGGGAAGCTTTGATGGGGTTTCCCATTGATTACACGAGGCAATGCGTGCCCAAAGGCGACCAAAGAGGAGAGAACTATGAAGACATCCGTATGAGCATGATTGGAAATAGTTGGCATGTCGGAGTGGTGAGCTGGCTGGTGGGGCAACTATCTCGATCTCTTGGAATGGGAGGTCTCTCAGCCGTACAAGACATTATTGATGCTACCACTCCAGGGCAGGCTCGTGACTTCTGCTCTATGCTACTGCGGCCACCACATCAGGGACGCCTGGGAACGGGTGACTCTGACGCAGCAGAGAAGCTAGTACGCAAGTGCTTTGGATTCTCCTCGATGAAGGGAGAAGACCTCATGGTTCACACAGGTACAGATCCAGCTCCCAAATACTTCCGCCTTCGAGCTAGTGTTCCTGGACGGTTGTGGCGCTGGCGTGACATTTCGGGGTGGCGGTGGCGACATTCGGGAGAACATATCAATCTCCTGGAACTTCGTGCCATTCTCACCAGCATCAAATGGAAGTTGTCACGCTCCAGAATGTGGGGAGTTCGGTTTCTTCACCTTACGGATAGCATGGTATGCATGCACGCCTTGACCAGAGGTCGAAGTTCAAGCAAAAAATTGAGACCTATTTGACCTATTATCATGCGGCTGAACGCTCTGATGCTTGCAGGTGATCTTCATCCCCTTTGGGGGTATGCACGCATCGCAAAATCCAGCTGACCGGCCTAGCCGAAGGCCGGTTAAGAAGAAATGGGCAAAATAGGACGAGCCTTCCTTGAAGGTCACAGCAAGCAAGCCAGACAGGTTCAGCGCAAGCAGCGTTGGTCTCTCAAATCCCTTACGGTTTCGCCTAAAACAAATCAAAGGTATGCCGCAGCCAGGCAGAAATTCTATGAGTTTCTCGACGCCAATCATCTTAGCTTGCCACGAAAGCGGGAGCACCTTGACCGGCTCCTGAGCGAATACATTGAGTTCTTGTGGTCCGAGGGCGAGGGCCGGGGTCTGGCCTCGGACACGGTTGCCGGCCTACAAGACGCAGATCCTAAGCTTAAGGGGCAGCTCCCCGCTACGTGCAGGCAGAAAAAGACGTGGAGCACAAATGAAAACCCGAACCGTGCGCCGCCCCTCACCGAGACAGCGGTTCATGCGATGGTCGGCTGGAGCTTCCTCCATGGGCACTATGGCTTTGGAATTTCTCTCCTGCTGGCCTTCTATGGCATGCTGCGAACAGGTGAAGTGACGGAAGTGAGAAATAGCCACATTTTTATGAAATCAGCTAGCTCTCCTGCAGTAGTGAGCCTAGGTCTCACGAAGAGTGGAAAGCGGGCAGGAGCAGCGGAGTCGGTTACTATCACTGCTGATGTAGCCTTAAAGTGGCTGTGGCAGTGGAAATCACTGGCTGTGCCTTCAGCACGGTTTGTCGAATCAGTGTCTGCTTGGAGGATGTTATTTAAGACAGCCGTTGCGGCCTTGGAGATTACACTTTTTGAGTTCAGGCCCTATACTCCCTGCGTAGGGGGGGCGCGACCTTTTGGTTCGCAAAACACGGGTCGTTCGATAAGCTTCTCATTTCCGGGCGTTGGCAAGCCGCTAAAACCGCCCGAATTTACATTAATGAAGGCATGGCGGTGCTAGCTGACCTAAAACTTCCCTCAAAGAGTCTAACCCCGTTTGTCCGAGCGTTTCACTCTCACAGTTTTCCACAACACTTGAACTCGCGCTCACGCGCAAGAAAGGGGGGGCGTGGAAGGAAGTCTTTGTTTGCCATTTTTTGGCCACAAAAAAGAAAGCCTGGCCTATGGCTCTCGGCTTGGCGAGAGGCCATAGGAAGGTAAAAGGGTGGTTTTCCGATCCTCCGGCTTGGCGGGGGGTAGGAAAACTGAGCCCCAAAGGCCTTTGGGAGAGGCACAGT